CACAGTGCTGCAGCCCTTTGGCCCTGCACTTGCGTGTTGGCTTTAGTTGTACAGAAGTTGTGTGAGGACAAACTCACTCATGGCTTTACATCCTTCAGGAATCCAGAAGTACTCCTGAAGATCCAACAAGGGCAGCTGCATTTCATGCTTGATATATTCTTCAGTTGCTAAAAGACCGCTTCATCCCGCTGAAAAATGACCTGGTTTTTTAATTATTCATACCTTAGCACTTCCCACACGGGTTATAGCAATGAAATGAAACTGGCCTATAAGGATCACAGCTGAGCACTGCAGTGCCTCTGTGATACAGGAGGTCAGATGCACTCAGACTTTGTTCCCAGACCAAGTCTGATGCCACTCCACAACCCTGACTCAAAGCAGCCACTTCTAGAACTCCTACCCAAATTAAACAACAAGACAAAAACTAACTAATAATTACAGTCTTCTGGCACGCTTGAAGTTCTCAATAATGATGAGGCAGAGCTCCAGAAAAAGACAATTTTAATGTATAACTTCACATCACAGAAACAGTTTCCAGGAAATTACTTCAGGACCAGGCCTATCACTTTCAGCTGCAAACAAAGCATACGATTTTGGTCCTGTTTTCTATGAGGACACAGTAATGCAACAGACAGACATTTCCTATGTTTAGTGACAACAGGAGATGTTCAGACAGGACAGGTAGCAGCATAATTTAGGTGGCCATGGCAGTATGCTAAATGTCACTCCTCCTTATGCCATTTCATACAACTATTTGGTTCCTGAGGTACATAAAAGTCGTATCTGCAAAGATGTCAGATGCCCAAGACCGCATCACAGCTCTGTGTGTATCCTTCAGTCTGTTGGCGTCTGTATTTGTCAAGCACAGTGGAAAAAACAAGACCTTAAATCTTTCTATAAATTATAAAATGCCAAGGAAAACTTTACAGTAGTTTATTGTTACCTCAGATCAGCTAACGCCACATATTTCTGCAAAAAACACACCAGACTACATCAGGCTTCTTCCATGACTATCTGCTGCCTGTTTGGTTTTTATTTTACTTTTAAATGTATCTATATTTTTTATCTTTATAACATTAAGTGGCAACAAGTTTAATATTTAAAGCACACAACACAAGAAAAAAACAACAAAAAAAAACACACAAAAAAAATCACTTCAAGACCAGACAACTCTGAAATGCTTGTATGTGCTCCAGTAGCTAGTCTTGGAAACATCAACATTCTTTTTGTCTTTTAAATACAAAACTTTTTTAGATTATGTATTCTACTCCTACATTTTTTTCCCCCTAACCTGAAATATGACTTTGAGATGGTTACTTCCTTGCTACTGCTAGGTTTGTAATCCTCCCTCAACACATTTTTGGTGGGAAGGTGGTATAGAATGAGCCAGAATAGACTACATGTATTATTTTATTTCTGCTTACTATTACTACAATGAAACAATGTTAGAAAAACTATTTCTTGAAATCATTTTTGTTTCCCTATTACCTAGCAGGTAAGAGTTCTTGAAAATATTTAAAAGACACAATATGAACGAGAATGCGAAAATACAACAAAAATAATTTCTCAGAAGATGCATTTCATTTGTCCAGGCACACACAGGGTATCAGAAAGGTGAATGAACTCCAAAGAACTTTATTTTTCTTAGGGGAGTATACATATTTCCAAGCTGTCTAATGTGATTCGATTAAGCAAACATTCTATTCTTAAATATTCAACCAGCAGTTGTAGAAGCATCATGTGAAGTTCCAACTATAAAAAGCAGGCACCGAGCAGAGCTTTGAGTTAACAGAGATGCCAAAAGACTCCCAAACAGATGGCACGTCTGCTTCCCTGTACACACTTTAACTAACAAGGAGACTGACGTGATTTCAAAAGATTCAGGAGCTTCCAGACAGCAAAATGCAGGCATTTACTTTGTGAGCTGTTTCTTCCATTGGCACTAGAAGAACTGAAGACTATGTAAAAAACCACTACAACAGCAGCAACACCAACACAGGCAGTTTCACAATGTCTCGCTTCAGACATAACAATCCTTATTTTGGTCTAAACTGGAAGCTATTCATTATCTAAAAATCTGGGAGCAGACTAACAGAAGCATTAAATGCAGGGCTTGACAGACAGTGTCAGGACATATCATAAATAGTTTGATATCAGCATTCTCACTGTGTTTATGAGAACACAATGAAGTGCTAGCTTCCCATTCTGCAGGAAGAGTGCCAAAGAATTTAGGTGGTTTATTCAGCAAATGTGTTTGTCACTGGAGAGAGGAACATGCTGCTGTCCTAAGTGGCTTAAGTTTGGGAGTTATATATCCATCGTTTCCTTTGAAATCTTTCAGACTCCAGAATGTTTGAGGAATAGTACTCTTTCTTCCTACACCTCTGATGCATTCTGGAGATGTTGAAAGGGATCACTGAAGTGCATTAATGAGATATTTAGTGAAAACTATATTCTTGCCTTACCTTGGTGGTTCAGAAGTCATAAAAGGAGATTTATGGGAGAAAACTTACAGCCTTTTAGTGGTAACAAAACTATTTTATGGAATACAAGAAGGGAACAGTTACTGGATAGATTATAAACACTAGCATCTCTAGTATTACAAAGCTGACCATATATTGTATGCTACTGGCACATATTCTATACCCCATTCTGCCTTCAGTAACGCAGCCAAACGAGTGCTAAGATCTCACCACAGACTCCTACTTCTTTTATACAAGCTTAAATTCCAATTTAACAGTAATTTCAGCAGAAAATAATGAATACTTCTACAAGAACCTTGAGATTTAAGTGACTTGGATCATCCAAGTAAACAAATCTGAAGCAAATAAAAAGTATTTCCCAAACGTTAACTTACATTCTGAAAGCTCTCAAAATATTTAACCAACTTATTCTAAGGGCTTAAAAAAGCTGGTAAGGAAACTTGAAAAAGTGAAGTAACACGTTTATACAGTATAACGTTAAAAACAAACACGTGTACTTATGAAATTGCTCTCAAGTGAAAAAACATCAGCTATTCCCCCAGTGCACAAGTTCTAGAAACTCTTAATAGACATCTCTGGGCAACCCTGCAGTCCAGAAGAAAAGCACGAAGCCAAGTAAAATGTTTAACCTAGGCAATAATCATGATGCTATGTGTTAAAGTAAAGACCCAGTACAGAGAAAACCTCACTGTAATTACTCAACAGTTTATGTTGGAGTTTGAAAAGCTGCTAAAGGACAGGTGACTGAAATAAATAAATTTAAGAATGACTGTTAATTGCTATGTTCAATTCAGTTAGGAGCAGGTGAGAAACATGAGCTATAAGCTGAGAAAGAAAACTTCAAGTGAAGATATTTGAGGTTTTCTATAGCAACCAAAGTCCTTTGAGAGCTGGTAGGATTGACTCTCCAATAGCTGGGAAGAGAAGATCTCAGGCAGGAGCTAATCCTGAAAAAATCTTGCAGAACACAGGTAAATGGCCCAACAGGGATCCATATACTTAGTTAAACTTTCTCCTTTTCAAAACTCTATTGTGAAATAAAGTATTAAGTCATGAGGGTTTGGAAGGCTGTAGCCTAAAGGACTAAACCTTCCAATCTGTTTCAGACAACAGGAAATTGGTTTAATCTTTATACACCCACACAGAGGCAGCTCTACTCCTCAGAAATTTGTTTTCCAGATATAAATGTTCTAGCTTGCTACCCTTCTGAAAGCGATGTACAGGAAGGAGTATGATCATACACTCAGAGAACCGAAATGAACCAAGCCAGACTAATGTTCTGTTAAGCTACCCAGGAAGCGTTTGGCCAAATTATTAAAATGGTATCAAAATTAAGTTGCAAGACTCGTATTTTACTGTGTCAAAACAGGAAAACTCTTAACTCTTAAGGCAAGGTAGCTCTGCTGTGCTGTCAAGAGTCACTGAGCGTCAAAAAGAAATCAGACACTTCCAAGCATCCCAATCCTCTCAGCTATACATGATAAGACCCTTCCATCTTGATTTGGACTATTAGGAATGTGTTAAAATATTGTAGTACTTTGACTGCGTACTTCCAAAGAGAAGAGGGGTTTTTGGGTTTTGTTTCACAGGCTTTATGTCAAGAGACAGCTACTTTCCACAAATTCATTTCCCCTCAGCCATTTACTTTGTTCTCTTCTCAAACCCTGCATATGTAAAAATCAAAGTTACTGGTGCTGCAAGCCTGACTTTGCAGCCCCCCATATGTGCACAGGATCAGAGCAGAGCAGCTGGCCTCCCACAGCTGGTCACTGTTACATTCCTTTAAGCTATGTGGTTGAAGGCTACAAAATGAATAAAACCAATAATTACCACTATTTTCATATTAGAGCACACAGGTGCAAAGACAGCAGGAAAACAGGCAAAGTGCCAAAATGCAGGAGGCGGCAGTCAGTGAATTTAAGGACAGCAAGACAGTTTCATAGTAGCACCACAACAACAACAGCGTGGCTACATGTTGAAAGACAATTATTACAGAACAAATTAAAAAATCTGCATTGAATATTAAGTTGATTTATACTAGATAACACTTTACAGTGCTCTTTTTCAAGTGATTAAAATCCTCTGTGTTAAAGAAAGCTCTTTATTTTCCTCATGGTTATCAACCACTACTCCAGTACTGGCAAGGAACTCCTCGGTGAACCTACTCTGCTTGCTATCTGCAGTTTATTCCCATGGCCAGCAGCAAAACACGAAAGGCACGTTTTCCAACCAGCAGCCAAAACCTACCTCTAAGACACAAGGTTTTTTTTCTAGCATTATTAGAAGACAAATCAACAATATATGTGTGCCAACAGACCTAAAATGACAAAGCTACTCTATTAGATCACTAAATTCCAACACAAGAAACTCAAATGACTGTCTCACCTCTACTGAAAAAAAAGTAACAAATAAATTCAAACTCCATGTCACTTCAGACTACCCAAAACTCAAGGTTTTGGTTTGGTTTTTTTTTGTAGTTGCTGATCTGTTGTTTAAGCATGTTTACGACATACTTACTCTCGCTCTTTCTCTGTCAGTTTGTCGTTGATATTATCTTTGATTGTAGACCGGGAGCCCTTGTGAATTATAGGATACCTGAGTGGCACTTGTAAGAAGTAGGATATCATCGAAACCAAGTGAGCAGTGTAGCCCAGGGCAACAGCAATGCTTCCGTCATCTTTTGCTGTCAATAACAAAAAGATTTCATTATTTAATCGATCGTATCTCTCAGCAGGCTCAGCACAAGTTCATCCTGATTGCTTAGAGAATGACACCATTAATGAAGCTATCAGAAGTTATAACTTAAGAATGGGTGCAATTCTGAAATAAATTTAGACTGCTTTCCAACTGTGTGCCATTCACTATCTTCACCTCTTTCATTAAAGGGCAGTGTAAATGGGTGATGGCTTTTTTCTCCTTCCAGTTTTACACTTTCAAAGTTAAAAGTTACTCGTCTCAACATTTGGCTGCGTGGGGGAGGGTGAAGAAGAGATGGGAAAAGTGAAACAAAATTCCCAAGACAAAATTCAAGTCTTAAACTTTCTGCATTTCTCTAAATGTAGCTGACATGTATGATTGGGGTCAGGGAAAAGCTGCATTCCTCCATAACTTTATTCATTAGTGAGATCAGTTGGAGAGACACCGACCCCAGGGTATGAACTCTGTTCTCTGCCAATAACTGGAAGAACTCACATTAACCCATTATTTTAAAGTATCATTTTCAATTTGACACTTCAGGTTTCAACCTTAAAGCTTCACCTGCTGGGAATACACACAGGTCTTGCAATTCAAATTATATTCTTTAGCCATGTAAGAGCTTTTCCTTTCTGTTTTCTCTTATTTTTTCTTCTTCGTGAGTGAACACACCAATAAAAACAACATGACAGAGTCATCCCTTCTGAGGCACAAGGGAGTCCTGTGAAATCAACACAAAACTAACTTTTTAGGGAATAAAATTTTTTTGATACTTCAGATGCCTGATTTTTATTTTTTTTTTTAATATTATCTACTAAGAGTCTGAAATAAGATACACATGTCAGACAGCTGGTTTTCAAATATAACTGCATATTTCACCAGGTTGAATGCTTAGTACTTCTTCCTTGTAATACAATATTTCTAGAGACTTCCATACAGAATTAGTAATTCCTTTGTAAGGAATTAATACCAGTAAACTGAAAATGGGCCAAAAGATGCACAACCACGGATTTCTCAAGATTTCCCAAACTGAATTCATTACCACATTTAGTGCAATCAGGAAAACAAAGCAATAGACCGATTTCTGTCATATTGACAAACAAATTTGTTTTAAAGATTATTCCTCCATTATTCTAGCATCCAATACTCACGTTGTTAGCACAAGTTAATTTGTATGGGATGGCTTTGAGGAGTTAGGCAACTGAATGAGGTTTTTGCCCAAAGAACCACATGTCTTGCAGAGCAAGTGAGTACTGGGAGCAAGAAGTTCTGAAGGAGATTTTAATAAAGTTCCAATTCACGTCAAACATTTGCAGATAAATGCATGCAGTTACCTGTACAACTGTTACACAGACAGGCATACTATATATTTGCTTTTGCAATAAGATGACTGTAGACAGCTAAAGTAGAAGCTGACTTGTAAAATACTCCACACTGTCAGGCAGCTTTAAAGTCTTATTTATGCAAGATATTTATTTGTTAAGTTCACCAGCAACTACAGCAAATTGAATGGGGATTTATGCGGGTTGTCCCATCAAGATTTACAGACTGAAAGCAGCCACAACGGACTTTTAGGTCAGACACAAATATTTTCCAGAAGCACTAAGTTTGGAAGGCACCTCTGGAAACTGTGTAGTGTTAGCCCTCCTGCTCAGAGCAGGGTCAGCTACAATAGGTTGCCCAGGACTGTGTCCAGTTGGGTTTTGAGCATCCCCAGGGATGGAGACTCCACAGCCTGTTCCAGCCTTTCAGTACTGAGTCTCAGAATACAGAGGTATTTTTAAAGAGCCAACAGTAACTACCTTTGTACTAGCTAGGAAGTAGGAATAAATAATGCATAAGTTTTCTTCTAGTCTAGTCCTTTCCAGTCAGAAATTTGGATGCTAAGCCAGTGCTATCCATTTACTTAATTTTATGAAGTTTAGAAGCAGTGTCAACTGTAACAACTAAATTAAGAATATCCAGCTACCTTGAAAGTCTTCAGAATTAGGAAGCTTGACTCCACAAACAAAGTAATCCTTTTGATCATTCTGTAAGTTTAAAATCAACAATGGAAAGTGAGAATGGAACAATAACATCTAGAAAACAGAAACCTGCACAAAATCCAATGACAACAAAGCATTTTTGCAAAGAAAAAAATAAGTATTCAATGGAACCCAAAGTGACTTTGACATAGTGGTTTAGTCCACATTTCATATAATTCAGAAATAAATGCAACTTCTTTAAAAGAAGAGTTCCTCTTAATCAACTCATTATATAAAAGGTTTTGGAGCTCCATATTTTGACATCTGTTTATATGTACTCCATTAAAGTCCAGCTAGCCTACTGTCAGGGTTATGTTATATAATTGTAAACAAAATTAAAAGTATCCATTAAATTACTACTACAGCTATTCTACTTTTATAGTGGAGACTATGAGAGATGCTGGCATAAGTCCTCTCCCCGTGAGGTTTGCAATCTGAGGACCAAATCCAGAAAAAAGCTGGAAAAAACAGCATGAGTGAAGAGCAAGTTTCATCACAAATACAACATGATATTTGCTCCCAGCATAATAAATAGGAAATTCATTTCACATCAAGCAGACTTTTAGAACATTAAAAACATACCAGATCAATGGGGTAGATATAGGATAGCTCTGACAGCAATTGCTTGCATCGAATAGTCTGCTGGGCATTTGTCTTCAAAAACAGTTCTCTTTGGGGAAAGAGATCCCAAAACAATTAGTTTCTTCAAAAGCTTTAAGTAAAGATATCAAGCCCTTGTATCCCTCCTGCATATTTCCAAGTATCACCTCCCCTCCCTAAAAAAGCTAGGTAATTCCACCACAAAAAAAAAAAAAAAAAAAAAAAAAAAGATACAGAAGACAAAGGTAACTTTTCATTTTCAGTTGTACCTCATAATAGGTGTGTTTTGACTATGACAATTAAATATTATAAAGTTGTGCTACAGTAAATCAGACATAAAAGTGCTTTCGTAGTCTACACATGCAACCAAGCATCTGTTTTCTTTTCTCTGGACTTCCACTGTTCATTATCACTTTATATATCACAAATAGTAGCACAGATGTCTTAACAAAAGTTTTGGGTGATATTTGGTGCTAGGATGCCCACTTCAAGTGGCCTTTTCTCAAGCTTGTATTTCCTTTCCAATCGCAGAAAAAGCAAAGGTCCTTTTACCTCTTAGCAGTGCATTCCTTTCTTAATTCATGTAGGGATTCATTATGCTCTTGAAGTTTCTGGTATTCAGTCTCAAATGCATTTCCTAAACAACATGCAGCATGAGGAGAAAAATTAGCATCAAATATTTTCTTAGTTAGCTAAAGTTTTTAAAAGTAGATACTGACACAAACATTGGCAGTAATCTTCCACTTACTCTTAGATGCCCATTTTCCACTTTTTGCTGCCAAACTCGGGAATGACAGTGCAGGAGGAACACAAGTCTTCATGCACTACACACCATCCACCAGCCAAATACAACCAAGAAATCCTTGTTCTCTGTTAACACCCATTCCCCTCGTGTCCACAGTAGTGGAGTAATTTAGTTAAGGCATCTCAGTACTTGCATAGCCAGAATTGAGGGGGACAAAACACTCATTTTTAGTAGTAACTAATTATTTTAGACTCAACTAAGTGATAATAAAAAAAAAAAAGTGTCCTGCAACAAGATTAAACATCCGTGTAGTTTGGTCTCTGGTGAGCTCCAAAGAGACAATGATACAGCATTTTATTATAGGACACTTTCTTAGTAAAAGAAAATACCAAGACGACTGAGCGTTTCATCTTTCACTTACAGAATAAGCTATTAAGAGGGATTTTTGTCTTCTAACACTTAAAATGGAATCCTAACCACAGGTACAAGATCTCTCCTGACATAATGTGACTGCATCAAGCCACTGTTTACTATATTACAGTGCAGCAGTTCTGATTTTCTCATAAAAGTTTAATTAAACACAGATTTAAGATTACTTTAGAGAGGTGTCATAGTAAGAACCTAGAGACAGGATACCAGAAAGTGCTGTCTAGAATTCAGTATGACACAGATGGTGAAGAGAATATATCTGGTTGTAAACTTCAGATAAAAGAAAAACACAAGCACATTAGAGACAGACTGAAAAAAAACAAACCACCCCCTTTATTTTGGTCACCATGATCATAAGTTAGGCTACTATCCTTCTGATCAGAGGGTTATAAATATCTGTATTAGAAGCAGTAAAGTTTCTACACTTACCTCTGTCATGCAAAGTACTTTTTTCCTTATGCAACAAGGCTACTTCTTGACCAAGGGCCTTCTTCTGCCTCTCCAGTTCATTACGTAGCACCAGGATCTTCAACTGTAAACATTCACTCTCCTTTTTCTATTGGAAGAATAGATTTTTTATTTAAAAAGTAAGTTTTTCTGCAGTTCCATAAAAGGCATGATAAAATGGAAGAATAGGACAAGACTAGTGTCTGCCAGACTAAAGGCTGAGTTCATAGATTACCAAAGACCCTAAGCAATCATTTTGCTGCTCAGGAAGGAGAGAAACTCAGCTGTGTCCCACACTGTTCATTCCTCCTGTGGGCTGCATCTCCTCTCCTGTGCTCAGCAATGCAATGGCCCAGGGCAGAAATTAAGAGAGGAAGGAAAGGCAAGAGGAAGTTTCTGCAGGACAAATACATAGAAACTAACAGCGTAGCATTAACAACAAGTGAGCATTCACTATTCTCTGGCAAAGGGTTCGGCAGTAAGAAGGAAGATGAGCAATGAGCAATCTATACTAAATTGAGGCAGGGAGCTGGAAAAATGTTCACGATGTCTGAGCAGCACTATTAGATGCAATTGCCAGCTTCGGGGTGATAAGGAAGAAAAGGATACAAAAGGAAATAACACAGAGAGGGGGAGCAGATTACATCGTTACACACAGTTATACTTGAAAGATCCCTTCTTTAAAAGTTTTAGGATTTGTCCTGTACCTCCTCTAAATCTATTCCTGTGTTTAAAAAGAATTTGTTTTTTTCTTTGATGCACTGTCTCCACTAAGAAATTGTGCAGCCATGTGCATAGTGAAGCAGAATTTTCTACTGTAAGTGGGGTTTTATATTTTTTAATGGAAGAAGTACTTATGTTTAATAGCTACTGATTGAGAATACCTGAAGACAGATTCAAAATGGAAAGGAGAAGTTGCATCTCTTCAGTTGAATCTGATAGAGTTCAAAGCCTGAAGTAGTCGCACTCGTGAGCAAACACTGTGTAAGTACTACCAAACACTGTCACTCTGTGTAACTCTGCCAGGTTTCACTTTTCCAAGTAGTTAATGAAGATAATGTTACTTCAACATTATCTGCCTTAAAAAAAAAAAAAAAGGCAGCTCTTGCAAATATGAAGTGGAAGGAACTGTTCAGCTTCAGTTACACATGTATGCTCATCCTTCTGGTCCAAGACTTCAGCAGGAAGCAGGACTCAATATTAAAGAATGAAACTGTAGTTCCCACACTTAAGGGGAATGGGAGCCCAACAAGAGTTTCCACTATCGAACAAAGGAAAAGAAAACCAGGTAATCCTTTCCTTATACCATAGACCATGGTTGCTAAGAAGCTGCATCACATGTTTGATCATGTGTTCTTCATATGGCTTTGCTCACACATATTTATAACGGAAAAGTCTTTGCATAGAGAGACAAGGATATCCACAATTGGAGGAAAAAAAAAAAAGATAGTAAAAATCCTTTTAATGGCCAAAATACCAGCAGAGGGCAAAGAAGCTCTGGGTTGGAGTCACTTGAAAGAGATGTTATATTAACCAGTAAGGGAGTTGACTTTTTTGCTTCATCTACAATGCAGCCCTGTAATTAGAGTGGATAAACAAACTCTCTTTTTTCTATTCTGTCAAACCCTTAAACCACTTTGACACTTCTAGAAATTAGCTGAGTACTCTCAGCCCAGAATCTACCTTACAGCAATAAAATAACTTCACGAATTTGTGCTTTCTTACAGAAGGCACCAAACACGTGCCAGTGAGTACCAAAATAATGAAATCACCATGAGCCACTCTTGTTCTGTCAACTCACTTCTTTGAATTGAGCTCAGCCTTTCTGGGCAGAAAATAGAAACTAGTACCAGTACACATTTTGGAAAGGGGAAGAGGACAGGCAAAACAAACTGTCAAAAGCTATTGCAAGATCTAATATAATTCCTGCCTAAAATGAATGTGCCACTTGAGTGACAGCTTTTGCATGAATTCTGTTCACCCAAAGGGAGTTGGGATGCAAGAAGATACAGCCAGTAGACTCACCTTACTCTAAATCCACCACAGGTTCCTGTCAAGATTTATCTAAATCATTAAAAGGTTGGTTTTCCTGATAAACCTCTTCCATGCACTGTGCGATGTTTATGCTTTTATAGTATAGAAGCAATTATCCAAAATAAAGGTAAAAATAGAGTAAGCGACCTATCAATCCATTTGAGTAACACACACAATCTAAAATCCACTGACATTACACTCCTCAGATGAGTTCCATTTAAAATGAGAGGTTCAAATACAGATTTCAAGTTCAAGCGTTAAAAAAACAAGCTTATGGTCAAGACATCAGCCAGATGCTTCAGTCAGCCTGTAGAATAAAGTTTTAGATAATCAAACTTACCAGTTCATTGCTTGTAGATGTACATCTCAGCTTTTCTTCAATCTCCCTTCCTATTTTCTGAACAGTTACCTGAGTCTGTTTAATTGCACACTGGGCTCTGTGAAGCCTGTAAGGAGAAGAGAAGTTACGGCTGTACTAAAGGTTGCCCACACGTGTCCTAATGACGAACACGCCAGCTGCCACACAATCAGCAGCAGTATTACAAATTCACATTGTCAGCTTCTGTTTTAAAATAAAAGAGTACTCATAATTTGCACAGTTTAAGAAATGAGTATCCAAAGGAAAAAACAGCAAGTCTCTAAATTCCATCAAGTCCCAAATCTCCTTTTCATTTGTTAAATTCAATAGATGCCAATAAGACAAAAGCTGTAGCTGAGAAAGCAGGTAATTACAGGGATGTCACGTCACAATTAAGTTATACCACGGTTAACATCAAGACAGATTCACACGTGACAGTTACCATGAGCACTGTTAACACAGCTTTTAAAAAGTGCAAGTATCCTTTTGATAACACACAGCTACCCAGGCCAAAAGCATGAAACACCCTTCGGTACACTCAAATATGCTGTGGGCCCTTCTGTAATAAAAACACAGGTTTCTTAATTGAATCACATTTGAAGCATGAAAAAGATGAAGCCCTAGCTTCAGGATGAAGAAAAAATGATTATTTGTCATATTTATTGAAAAAAAAAGTCAGGCAGAGGAAAGCAATGACAAAAACAGGTCTAGGAGTGACATTAATATCTTTCTTAGAATTAATATGGAGTAGACGTATATATTTCTTAGGAAAAAAAAAAAACAGAGTTGGTCTGCAAACATAGACTATGTCTTTTAAGGCATGTAAACCCATCTGAAGTTTCACTATTAATGGATTCTTCTTTTGTAAGGATATTCTTTAGACAGCCTTGCTGCTGGAGTGAACCCTTAGCTCCACTAAAGTCTTGCCAGAATAGCAAAAATGGCCAGATAACGTGCTTTTGCCAGGTAAACGTGACAAAAAGACCAAGCCTGCTCCAGCGCACACTTTAATGCTCATCTCTGCTTTGTCAAAATTAAAAATCCCTGCCTCTTCGTAGGAATGCCTCTTTTTACTAAATCAATGCTACAATTTGCTGTACACCCAGGACCGAAGCACTAGAGCACAGCAAAGAGGCTACCCAGCTCCTTCCTTCTGCATTCTCTAATCTCTTGCAGATTTACAAGCAATTGAGGCATCGGTATTTAAAAGTTTTTGCCTAATGGTCTGGATGCAGCTAGACCAATATATCCAGGCTACGTGCTTCAAGTATGTGACCACAGAGCATTTACTCCTCACACCACCTCCACTCAGCGCCCCATCTTAAGTCAACAGCACACACTTAGGTATTATTCAGCATGAGGAGAGTGCCTACACCACCTAGCCCAGCAAACAAACACAGAGAGAGGAGATTCTACATGCACAACAGGGAACAAGCAATGCTAGTAAGATTAAAACAAGGTCACTGCAATTTAGGACTTTTACATGTGAATACATTTAAGCCATCAGACACTTTTAGTTCCTTCACGCTGCTTCTTCTAAACACCACTCTCTGTAACAGTATAACTGGAAACAAAAGTCTAAGGGATTTCTTTGGTTTCTTTAGAGATTCTCAGACTGCTCGTAGCACAAGCAGCCCAAGAGCTTTTTAGGGGTAGCTGTACCCCATCCAAATCACATATCACAGAATCATCTAGGTTGAAAAAAACCTTGAAGATCATCCGGTCCAACCATTAACGTCACACTGACTGCTCACAACTCCACCAACCGAGCAGCAGGGCTCTGCTGGCTGCTACCAGGGGTGGGAAGAGCTGGGGGGTAAGGCTGCTGAGGTTGGGTCACCCAAGGGTTTGGTCTCACATCCCTAATGGAGTAGAAAACTCCTGGAAACACTTAGTTCCTAATGGGAACTACTACTTTATACCTCCCACCTTCCTGAATGCATCGCGAGGCTGTCAGCTAGGTAACATACGGTTGCACAGGTCAAAGCCAAGGTTTGCTGACCATCCTGAACATCATACAACAGAGTCTAAGTTTCCTACTTCAACAGTTTCCAACCCACCTCTTTCCAAAAGTCTGGAACACTTTCTTTCCAGACATAAGAAAGCCTTACTCTTTACCTATAAGTTTTAGTTTTGGGTAATTAACTGAGTGACATTTCCCTTTACCCTTCTCTCCTCTTCATCTAATTTTATACTGGAAGAACATTCTTCCTTTAGTCTGTTAGGTGATTAAGAAAAGTTTTACAAGTTCTCACATCACGCCATTTAGGTAGCAAAATCTGACTGCTGAAAAGTGTTTTATTCATTGAAAGAGTATTTATGGAACTGGTAAACTGTTAGAGGGATCATTCGCCATGTAAGTTCCTCACAATGATTTGATCAATACACAGCTAAAAACCTCCGCATTTTGTAATAGCTTCAGGTTCTTCTACCCGTGTCCAAGTATAAGGAACGAACATCTTTCAGACTGACTTCTCAGAACAGTACGTACTTAGAATACTTCCATTTGCTAAATCTACATCTAAAGATATATTCCTAACCTATAAAAACTGCTATATAAAATAATTCAGCAATCAAGTCCGGTTTTAATAAGAAATGGTTTTCTTTTTAAGGCAAACAATCCAGATATTTCTTGCAATATAAAAAAACCCCTACACTTAAACTTGGCTGCCTTGATGTCAAATAGTGCCATTTACATTGCAAGACAGAAAACTAACTGATACTAGTTGACTCAATCCCAGTATGTTCACCGTTGTTCCAAAAACTTTAAAATGGTAACAGTAAGATCATGACCACATCCGAAGTTAATCCTTCCAAGATGAAAATTTTGGGGACTTCATGTTACAAAGGCAGCAACTATCAACAGAAGTCTCCCTTTCCAGCCAAAAAAGCCCCCACTGCACCCACATGGAAATCTTTGGTCATCCAACAAGGGGAGTACAAACTAAGCTGTAAGAACATCAGCATGGAAATTCTGTCCATCATTTCTACATGCATAAGACAGACTTGGTGGAGGCAATTATGATTGCACCAATGAATGGAGATCAGCAAGTTGAGGCCATAAATCTGGATTAAAATTAATACATAATGAATGGAGAGAAACTTCAACGCTAATTGACTGCATATTGTTTCCATTTCTAGGCTGAATGCAAGTCCAATGCTACAGCCTAAAGTTAGCTCAATTTATGCTTAGAGTACAATCTGGCTTGGTTTAGTGATCGACAATGATGAGCCAACTGATGGCATAATCTACGTGCTATCAGCCAATGTGGGATTCTTCCTAGATTGTTCGAGGGTTTTTTATTATCCTTTATTAAAATTAGCACTTCCATAGCACTTTAAGAGCTAATTCAGGGCTTCAAGAGGCCACTGGCCTGCTACCAAATTTCCTTCAGCGGTCAGGAAAGCCAAGCCAGATACAGCAGAAACTCAAGCCTTTTCAAAGAGATAGCTCAGCCAACAGTGTCGTCATCCCATGTCTGCAGGCTGCTCTGGTGTCCCTGCAGCAGCTCACAGCCACTGCCAGCCAGCAGCAGAGTAATACAAATGTTAAGCGTGACAGATTTACTGCTGTTGCTTGGGGCCCCGAGAGCTGCCGTGCAATTGTCCAACATCAGGTGAGTCGCACGCTGCTGCCTGGGAAAGAACTGGAAAGCAAAACAGACATTAAAATTCCTCACAGGGGAAGGCCACTCTAATGTAGTTTGGAGATGGAGACCCATGAAGCTGCTGTTCTACTTCCATTCTAGTATCACCAGCTTTGAGATGATTAAGACTAAGAGGAAAAATAAATAGTCTCCCTTCATTTGGAAGATGAAAAGACAGTGGGATAGATACAAAAACATTAGCCATGTAATGTAGCTAAGATCAACAAAAGCTGCATCCCTAATTGACCTAGGAAGAACCAGCAGGCAAAATTTCAACATCTCTCCTCTCTGCTTGCTTATTCACAATTATTTGCTGAAATACGGGACGTTTGGAGTATTTCTTCAAGGCTTCTCAAGTCTAACAAAATTATTTCCTTCCCCTCAAAAAAAAAAAAAAAAAAACCAAACCCAACCCAACATCCTACTTTCTACTTTGGCTGTACGATTTGAAACAATTCTACCATACAATGTTCTGCCAATCAAATCAGTTTGGGTACTGACTTGGAGGGGAAAAAAAGGTTGCCAAGTTTTGTACTTCTTCACCATTACAGGATTTCTTTGCAGTAACATCCCTGTTTTGTTTGCAAGATCCAGCAGTTTTCCTGACTTCCCAAGACTGCACAATGCAGTGGTCCGACATAACTTGACTTTACAACCTGGAAATGTGCTCTAACAACACATTTCTTGCAGCTTGCAGTAAAGTTTGATGCGATGTTTAAATATTCAGCTGAAGCACTTTCCTTTAAGACACGATGCAGTATCCTGCAGTGGAGATACTCCTCTTGGTCATGAATTAGCCAAGTGATTTACTAGTTTATATAGCAAGTTCATTCCTGGCTGCAATCTTTAAAAAAAAAATGAAAGCTGGAGTATAGTGATAGTTGTGCTTATTAAGCTAACATATGCTTATATTTATATTAATGAAAGTCTCTCAACTTTATTAGACATTTGATACATGATTTTGCAGTTCTATCATACACTCCAAATATCTATTTGCTTCTATCAGACACATCTGGATTTTTCATGTATGGAACTTTAAGCCATAAATACATCAATTAATTACAGCAGTCACATACTACAGCTACTCCTCACAAGAGAAATGCCATGCCTATGGTCTTATTTGCCAGAACAACCTTCATTTACAATGAGACTAAATTTAAACTGAGAATTACTACCAGGGATTTAGAAAATAGAACAGAACACTTCTGGCAATAAGTGAGATGTAGGATTCTGGAAGTAAAATACCCAAACCTATTATTAAAGAAAAAAAAAATAATCCAAGACTTTCCTATTAAATAGAAAAAATGGAATGCACACTACTTTATATGAGTCCAGAAATCAGATTACGGAGAGTGCCAGCCAGCTATAACATATTTTTTTACAAAGCCCCTTAAACCATCATTTGCTACATCTGCTTTCCCACAAGAAAAATTTTTTTAAT